AGCTTAAGCTCTGGTTTCCTCAGGTTGCCTGTGCCATTGTAACCTTCCAGGCATTGGCGTTCTTTGTGGAGGGAAAGGGAACCTGCATTTCTGGTGCTGGAGTGTTTGGGTGAAGCTTTTCTTAGCTAGTTTCTATGCAGTGTGGAATTGCCCCACAGGTAGTTCACGTTTCCTACCTTTCAGCCTGGCCCTGGTATCAGTTACCAGATTCAAAGGTAATCATCATCTCTATCGTGCTCAGAGCCGAGGTTGGCTGCTAGCAATGGGGGCTTTAGGGCTGGAGGCTCTTCCTCAAGCCGGAGCTGATTAAGATGGGGTGGGATGGAGCTGATGATCAGCAAGGTTGGCACTAAAACCAGGAACTACTTTATGGCCAGAAACTATGAACATTTCTTTTCAGGTGTCCCTAACTGTGACTCTCAGGCAAAAGTGCCCCAGGAAAGAGACTGTGCCTGGGAGAAGAGAGGTTAAAGGAATAGCCTCAGTTTTGGTGATGGGGACATTTGCTCTCAGAAAATAGGGAGAGTGGGAATTCAAGGGAGACATACAGTGAGGAAGCGAACTTAGCTTTCCTCTTTCATCACTGGGTCTTGCTTAGAAGTCTGTCTGTAAGGATAACACATAGGAAAGCTGTAAAGCGTGTCTCAGGTTAAAAATGAAACTCAGATGTTCTGTTCTGGGCAGTTTTCCTTTATCAAATTCAGCAACGCTTTTAAATCCAGACTCCCAGACATCATTGAAATAAAAGAAAACCCAACACCACATCAAAATTGGGCCTGGCGACACAAAGTGCAGTTCTTTAGCCTTTGGATAGATGGTTCATGTCTGCCTCCTGCCCCTTTAGTCTCCGCCAGCCCTTAAGCATGCTCAGGTGACATCTGGTCTTTTCATAACCTTTCCCTTCATCCTTGATCATGCTGACTTCTCACACCAGCTCTCTCCTTTTAATCACAAACATCATAAAAGGTTAGTTCACACTTATTGCCTGAACTTTCACAACACCTGCTGGACAACCTCTTCTCTGCCCATTTTATTGAAATGATTCTTAGATACCACCCAAGGCCAAAGCACTTGACACTATTTTGACACTGTTGATGGTTTTTTTTTTCCCCCTTTGAAACTCCCTTTTGCCTTAACAGCACTCTTTGGCTTTCTGTCTGACTGTTCCTTCTTGATTCCTGCACAGGTCCTTTCTCTGCTGTATGGCACCCCTCTTCTAGATCTGAGTATTACCTCTCCCATCACCTTACACTTGACTAGTTCATTCACAGACAAGGCCTGCCCTGTCACCTCCTTGTAAATCACATCCAAAACTTTATCCTCAAAGTTAGCTGTTCTCTTGAGTTCAAGTCTGTATTGACATCTCATATTCTGCTTAGCTATGTCAAACTGAGCATGCTGAACACTGAATCACCTTTCTCACAAAGCAGTGACCTCTCCACTTCTCATTTGAACATTACTAGGGTCCTACCACTTTAGCTTAAAATTGTAAACTTTAACAATTCCTTATTTCTCATCACTCCTACCATTAACCTTACCATTTGCTGAATTTTGACAATTTCATCTCTTTTAAATGTTTCATTGAACTGCTTAAACCCCAGGCTTCTTAACTTGCAGTTATATAACCAGACCCCAAAGAACTCTTCCAGTCTTGCAGACTTGTCTCTTGCTTTCCCATCTCTGTGCCTGAGTATCTGTTATTTCCTCCTTGAAGAATGCCTTCAGGACTGGAGGCACCATTTGTGGGGCTTAGTGCTAAAGCAAACTGTTCTTTTTCAAAAAGCAGGAAAAAGGTTAAAGGCACTAAAATGAAAGCTTTTTGCCTCCTTCTGTGATATCCTCTGCTTGACGCATGCATGCATGCTTTACTGTCCTATCAGACTTCACTTACAAAACACAAGATCAAGGATAAAAGAACACCAAGATGATGACAGCAGAGCACAAAACTAAGAAAGGGGCACGCATGACTGCAGAAGTCACCAGTCAGCCCTGTCCTCATCCATCTGGGATTTCCTGTGCCCTACTGTCCCTCCAAAGACAAGACAAAGGCTGCCTCTGCTGGGCAGATGATGAAATGTCCACGCTCCAGGCCTCTGCTCTGCTCAGCTCCGGAGATGACCAAAGTGTTGTCCTGAGCGCACTTGGCAGAAGTTCTGAGAACATTTTCTATTTGCTATTAGTCTTTTAGTCTCCTATTAGTCTATGTTTCTTAAAAGCAAGGGCTATCTCTTCATTCATCCTAGAATCCATGACTACACATAATAACTGCTTAATAAATGTTTGCTGAACATAAACAAACAGACCAAAGAGGAGAAAAGCACTGTAATCTCAAAGCCACATGCAACGTTTCCCTCAGCTGCTAATGCAAAGTTCTCCTGTTGGCTGGCCAAGGCCTTCTTGTTTTCCTTTTCATTTTTTAAATTAGTCTTTATGTTGATCTAAAGAAATTTCAATTATAGTTAAATTTTGGTAATGGATATATCTTATAGTTTATAAAAATGTATGCATATTAGTTTTCTCAAATATTTAGATACAAGCTTATGTTTTTAAACTTCTTATGGTTAAAGAAACTATTTTGATAAAGAAAACAGAAATAAGTCTGAAAGTACTTTCTCCACATTTTGATTTAAAAAATAATTTAACTTATTGAATGGTAGTGCCTTTCACAATGACTTCTGGAAAATTCTGTGTATTTAAGCAAGTTATCAAAGACTTCATGGAAATGCTTTGATAAAGAAGTTGAACTTGATAAGAACTTTGAACTTCCCACATTGGCTAAATACATATATTACCCCAAGAAATATGACCCAATTCATATCCATCCTCCCCCCGCAAACACAAATCTCTCTCTTTTGGAGTATTTTGAGTTACAAATTGAGAAAGCTCACTTGCACTTGTGGGAGAAGCTACCATTAAAAAAGATGATAAAACAGAATTAATTTAAACAGAAAAACATTAATTAAAAAAATGCACCACAGACACTGCATCACTAAGAAAGCCAGTAACTTTACTGAATTGTCTGCAAAATACAAATTATACCTTATTTCCATCGGAGAAACTTTGGAAAATTCCCCACTTTTATTCACTACAGACAGCTGAATTAAGTCCCTTGAGATACAGAGATGTGGTTTAACTTAGTTATAACATCTTGTCATCTAGTGGCGACAAAGTCCAGCTTATGCCGCTGTGAGCCTCTATTTGAATATTTGTTGCAAATGCTTGTATGCCCTCATTTACAAGCTATTTTAATTACTGTCATTTAATGGAAACAAGTCCCCAGAAAAAGAAGGAAAATGATACAGCAAACCATCTGAAGCAATCCAAGTCCTATGCCTACAGTGACCCAGGTCTACTTTGCTCTGAGAGAACACTGGTACTGCATTCAAACCACAACAAAATCCGTCGCTTAGCTGACCTCTCTGAATTAAAATGAGGTATGAATCAACTCGAGGTATGACTAGGGAAGGCAAATGCAATACCCGATTATGAAAATAACCAAAATGGACAAATTTAATGTAGAAGATATGTGGCTTGGATTGCTCCACATCTTTGGTTAAAACATATTTAAGAAAAGCCTTTAATTACATCTGTAGTCTGAAGCATTCTAACAGACACCAGTATTCCATCAATCTTCAAAAGATCTGTAGTGGCAAGTAATTCACGCCATAAAAGTGATGACATCACAGCAGATGGCACAAACGGGAACAGATGAAGTATGCCATGCTTAAGCAACAGCCTTTATTGAGGGTTCAAGTGGCTGCTTCTTCTTAAAAAAATTTTTTTAAAGAAAGAAATACAAGCATTACTCTCTGGAAAAACAAGCAAAAGAATAAAGGGAGCAAAAATGCTATTTCTAAGTTAAAAGACAAGTGTGTAAGAAAAACAAATACATAAAATTGTGAGAGGGCAGATATTCTTTTAAAAAGTGTATTTGAATTTTTTTTAAAAATTCTCACTTTAGTTAACCTTAAAGTGATTCTGAGGATGATAGGCATCTTCGTATTCATCACTACAAAATGCTAAATTCCACCTTTGGGAAAAAATAAGCCATTTTACTAAAAAACACAATTTTAAAAAAGGTTGAAATGAACAGCCTTCCACGCACCAATGCATACAATATACAGTTATGCAGCTTGTGTGTATTGCATCAGTGGTACCAGTATTTAAGCTTCATATTACCAAAAAATCTTTTAAAATAGGATTAGGTATAACAATACTTGTAGCTGTGTAAAATGCCACTTACGGTTTTTTGACTTGCAATGAAGAATGTTGCCTAAAATGTTACTCTAGGGTGGGCTATGTAAAACACTACTCCCTCAGGGCTCTGCCCTCAACTCCTGAATACAAAGGATTTACTGTGATAAAAACCCAAACCATACCAGCTTTGCAAATACAATAAATGGTAAATTACAGATAAGGTATAAGGGTAAAGATAGACAGTAATCGTTTACAGAAAGTGACTCATCACAATCAAAATTGTGCTTCTTCTCATTAAATCATTTTTTAAAATTCTCAGATTATCCCTTCGCTATCTTGCCACCACTTTATGCGAATTCAGTAGTGGGAACAAGGGATGACTGGCATCCATTTTCAAGTGACTTTGTTCTTTTCATGTTCTTATAAAACTATTGTCAGAATTGCTATAAATAGCCAAGGCTTCTGCTGGTACTTCAGCATTAGAAATTCACTTTTTTCTTTGTTGCTGAGGCAAATTGCAGGTAAAAAATTAATATGGCTATTTTCTCATGTTTTCACATAATGACCCTTTCCCACCCATTGGTAAATTTCTACTGATATTGATAAAGTGTTTTGAAATGACAGAGAACATTTGTGATATGTTTGCATATTTTATACACATCAAGTTATAAGGATGCATTGTAAGGATGGAATCAAGCTGATGGTGAGAAAAATGATTTTCTTAGTTTTCTTCCCCTATGTGTGACTGTGTGTGTATGTGCATATTTTCAGGGATGATCTTCTGTTTTTCCTTTGGACAAATGTTTTTCTTTCATGTTCCATGGATACCTTGAGTAGTGGGTTATATGAAATGATTAATATATTTTTTTGTTTGTTTTTAGTATATAAAACATTAGTACAAGGCAGGTTAGCATCCTATATGGATACCACCAAAGGTGCATTGTGGTCTAATTGTAGATTTCAGATTAAGTTAAGAAAAATATAGCCTAGTTTAGTAAGGTCTCTTGGCTTTTGCCACCCAGCGGCAGCCTTTTTCAATGAGAAACACATAGCAACTGTGCAAGTAAAAGAAAAAAAAATGGGTAAGAAACGTTCTACGCGTGATATAGCAGTGTCGATCTTACTGCCTGCATCTTCTTTGCTGTGTATGTCAATGCATATGATTGGAGATGAATCGACAGATCTTCACATTCCAAGAGAAGGAAAATCGTTCCTAGACTGAAATCTCTTTTAAACAACAAATATGAACTTTTTTTTATGGCACTCACTTTTTAAAGGGTCTGAAAATTAATCCTTTATAGACAAATATTAGGCAAGCGTCATCAATATTTCTTGAAAAATTTAAAAAAGGGACATAGAGAGGTTCTTTAATGGGATTTCTTGAAATGGCTATTAAATCTCTTTATTGAAGAAAAAATAGATGACATACATGCTTTATGCAGAAGTGACATTTGGGGGTCCTGACACACTGGGATTGTTCAACAGTCCTATATTGCTGACAAGATTGTTGAGGGTCAGTTAAAGTAATTAAAAACGGATGATGAAGCAACTATCCCTTTACCTGCTTCCTTCTTGTCTAGCACCCAATCTTTCACATTTTTCCTCTGTGGGAATTTATAACTTATACACCGAGTAAACTTCATATCACTTGTTTCTAGGGCCATATATTTGTAGGACATGGGTCCCAACACAGCTTCTCTATTCTGGGCATATTTCTAAAAAAGCATATGAAATTCTGGGCTGAAAACCAACCAGATAATTTAGGATACAGGCAAGTTATGGTATGCACTTACTGAATTCCAAGTTGCATGGTGAAATGGTGAGATCAGAAAGGGGCCCTGTGTTTGGTAAAAATTCAAAAATAAGAAGGATAAAATAAACTAATTAGTGTATACAATGGATGTCAGTTGAGCCAATAGCTTGTTAATATATTAAAAACAATTTAGGGTGTTGCAATGTGATATGTTCTAATCCCACAGGTTATCCTTTTGACAGCTGACCTTGAACTTATAAAATGTATGCAGAGTAAAAGAAAACAGAAAGAAAATAGTTACTCAAATGTGCAACTGCACAAATATCCCCCCTCCCGCTATTAAGATAACAAAACTTCTGCTATTACCATAATATTATATATATTAGAAAGCTATACACAAGCATGTTAATTTCACAGATTTTTTAAAAGATTCTTAATATTTTATATAATTAGAAATACACATTTCAAAAACAAAACTTCTACAAAGAGAAAACAGTTATCTTGGTTAGCAAAGCATGGAGTTCTTCATGGCTTAGGGTAGTGCTTTCTATACAAAAAGTCCTTTTTGGTTTTTTACAGGACTGTTTAAAATATTAGCGAAGCTATCAAGGGGAAAAAACACATTTTGGCTTAAGTAAACTACAAAAAGCCACAAATGCTTTGCAAACTCTGTCTTACCTTTTATATGAAAATAAGCAAAATGTAATGTACATATTTTTATACTTTTATTTAATAAGAGATGCAGACCCATATTTCTTTATTTAATTAAATACGTTAGCCCTCAAACTCCACATGTTTTTTTTTTTTTTTAAATAGGTATGGTCCTCTTTTAATGGTCACTGATCCTTTTTATTGAGTGCCATACGCCAATGATATGCCTGCAGGTTTGTGAGCGTTCTTAGGATGTTAGGTGACATTTACCAATGGCCACCCTTTGCCGGGTCTGTCCAAAACATCTATACATTTTTCTATATGTTGCATAACAGCTGCTCTCTCTTTCAGTAAAGATCTGCCGCTTTTGGCAAATGTTTCCTTTTGTCTATTTACATGTAAATAACGTTGAACCTGCAACATGACACTATCTATTGTAACATACATTTTGCAAAGGAGCACAACAGTGAAAAGAAGTTTAGCCTTAAAATCTATTTTGTACAAGTGTTCTGTTGTACAACTCAAGTCCTAAGCTTATCTCAGCATTTCTGTTTATCTTTATACTGTATCACTGAGGCAATTTAAAAGTACTTTTACAAAACAGAGTACCTGACTTTTTTTTTTTCCACACACAGCACATATAATGCATATCGACCCCCCTTCCCCATTAAGGTATAGCACACGCACACACTGCAAGAAAAAAAAAACTATTAAGTAATAATCTGATCATGTTGCCCATCCTTCAGAGAGTCGCATGCGCTTGACGGAGGGACTTTCCCTTTCGTCCGGCGAAGGTCTGGTGAGTCCAATGGGGGAGTGGAATTCGTTCCGGTGATCCTCTCGGTCGCTCCCGTCATAGGAACTGCTACAGCTGCTCAAGCTGTCAACAGGAGATCTCCCCGCCTCGTGGCGCGTGTGTTGTGGGTATCTCGAAGGGGTGGTGGTACGGTCTCTAGGAGGAGAAACAGGTTCTGACTTGATGTTGAGGCTTTGAGTAGAAGGCAGGGAGAGATTTGAACTCTGAGATAAATGAGTGCTAGTGCAAGCTCTGTAGGAGGAAAGGAAACCCAGTTACAGATGGAGGAGGCCTGGAGCCCCCAGGAACTCACAATTACATAAAACATCAGCTTAAGACTCGCATAGACACCAGAGCATGCCCAGAGGGAGGAGAAGGTGCTTAGAAGCACAGAGGGGATAGTATCCTCTTAGGATACCTCCGTTGATTTGCCCGGCAGTAATCACAGTATTTAACTGGTCCAGGCTCATGAATCACACCTCTGGTCTGACAATATAGTATCCTTAGGTAAGGATACTATAGTGAGTAAATATAATTTTCAATCACTTGTTTATTTTACCATCTACATACTAATTTTCTAAGAATTTTAATTAAGTAATGTTTAAGTTAATAAGATATTAAAATGGGGAGGGGACCTGTATTTCAAAAGGATCTATAATGGTGGACTATTTTTTCTTGGGTCAACATTACTTGGTAATTCATTTTGATGTCAGAGGAAATCAACTTTTGATTTCTGGAAGAAAGAATTGTCGTGACTCTGGATAAGAAAGACCATTTCACTAAATGTACAGGTACCAGTTTGAAAGGGTTTAAACAGACATACTGGAAAAAGCATTTTCTGTGTCTGTGGAATTTCTCCCTAGACTAGTTCCAAAATTGAACTTAAGATTTAAGATACAGTGTTTAGCTTTTGAATCAGACTTCCTTGATTTACAGTGTTTGAAAATTATTGTAAAAAGCTTATTATGGGTATAAATGTTTCCCTCAGTTTAATAAGCACTTACACACTAAGTTGCATCGTCTTCAGAGAGAAAGTGAAAAGAGTTCAAATGTCAAGTGAATAGAATCCATAGAAGGCTCCCTATAACCATACCCAGTGAAAAGCTTGGAGAGGGGAAAGGAGGGGAAGGAGGAAGAAAACTGAAAATTATCTGCAGAAATTATAAGTGCTGGCCTAAAAACACTTGGACTTCCTACCTCACTAAAACTCATATACTTGTACTTTCTTCATCCTTTCTCAGCTACATGGGCTAAAAATGCTATTTTCCACAATTAACCTCAACTTTCCTAATGCTAGTCTCACCCTACTACGGTACTTAGGGTACCACTCCTCTTATATGTAATTGGCATTAATTGGTAAATCTGGATTCGCCTAACAAAAAGGTTGTTGTAAAGAAGGATCTAGTGTAATTTTATTATGTTTATAACCCTTAGTCCTTATTTGTTCCACGAGAGCATACCTTGCTCTTATTCCAAAATGTGGGAGCATTTAGACACTTGAGATTCTGGAGGGAAAAGCATTAAGTCCCGAGTGTAGATTAGGAGTCACAATGACTCTCATCGGGATAAACCATAGTAACATTGCTGTTACCAATTTTAAGAGGCTGCACTGCCCTTATATTCTGATTGCGCTGACATCCAGGGTTAGAGTCAGCATCACCTGCCCTTATTGTCCAGAGAATACAAAAATCTCTTTTACTGAAGAATAGTCACAGCAAAGAATAATCCACACAGGCACACCTATTTTAAACAAAGGGAAGCAAGCCTACCTACCTATGTATTTGATTATGTTACCTTCCCTGGAGAAAAATGGATGGCATTGAAAATGTCATCATGAGCCGTGAGAAAAATGGGTATATGTTTCAGAGCAAGAATGGAGTTACTTGGGGCAGGATTTTTGAAAGATGCAATCGGGCTCAAGGTGTATAGAGAAACAAAATTAATCAGAAATGAGTTTATCTTCGAGGGATGTTTTATACAAAAGCACCACCTACTGGCAAAGAATTACTTTCCTTCTCTCATTAATAGATGAGATAATGTCAAAAATGACATAAAGGAGAATTATTTGTTTCCCTAATGAACCTTTCTTTCTCTGGCTTTTATGATATTATAGAATCAAAGCAGTTTTAGCATTTATGTAAGGATACTATAGTGAGTAAATACAATTTTCAATCACTTGTTTATTTTACCATCTACATACTAATTTTCTAAGAATTTTAATTAAGTAATGTTTAAGTTAATAAGATATTAAAATGGGGAGGGGACCTGTATTTCAAAAGGATCTATAATGGTGGACTATTTTTTCTTGGGTCAACATTACTCGATAATTCATTTTGATGTCAGAGGAAATCAACTTTTGATTTCTGGAAGAAAGAATTGTCCTGACTCTGGATAAGAAAGACCATTTCACTAAAATTTTATGAAATGTCTCTACTACCAATCACACACTGTTTGATAATGAATGTCAATTAGGAGTTTGAAAATAAAGTGGCATATCAATAAATACTTTCATCTGCCCTTTGCCATTTAGATTGTCTTCATAGGCTAGGGACATGGAAAACAAAAGAAGAATTTGGTAATTTGGACCAATAAAAACAGTTAATCTGGAGGAAGTAAACAAAAAGTAATATAATCAAAATGCTATTTCTTTAATACAGTGTTTGGACGCTGCATTATCTTCCAAGTTCAACTGGCTTGTACATGTTTTGCTGTATTTCTTCCCCATAAAAGACAAAACCCTGAGTGTTATCTCTTCCCATGAACAAACAGGCCAGTCCCTAAGTTTATCTTTTGGTGGCACTTCATTTTACCCTAAAAGCATATATGAAGCATTTTGAATGATTCTGGGGACACTAAATGCACAGCAATGAAATGTAGTTAATGTAGTTAAGTGATATCTGAGATTCAGTTTCATTATACTGTGGTAGAGGATTCAAAACAGAATGAAATCTAATTGACTAGCCTCTGTTACCAAGGAAGTATTTTCTTGAAAAGAAAAAGGAGCATTAACAATCACTAAGTGGTAAAGGTTAGATTCAAATATAAGCATATTAGTTTACTCATTCTTGAGAACAAAATTTTTATAGACACAGATAATTGTGAAATACTTTCTCTGTGTAGATGATAAAGAGGTGGGTCGGGGGACAGAAGCCAGACATGCAAGTTGCCCCTATCAAGTCTGCTGCAAGTTTTCACTAACTATAGATGCCATCCTGCTGGGAAGACACCTGCCCTTCCTCATAACTGTTCAAAAATGAAACATTACTGGAGAGTTTTATTCAAATTTTTTACTGCCTCTGCCTAGAAATTAGGCTATCAGACTATATTTAACCTAACCTTTTAGAAGTTGTCTTTACTCAAAGTTACCTCCTTTCAGTATGTACTGAACACCCACATCAACAAAGATAATGTATAGAAATGCTTCCAGAAAACAGGCTGCCCTTTTTTTTTTTTAAAGGTGGGAGGAGAAACACACCTACAAATCTGATGGTATTTTTCTCAAATCTTAGTATTCAAATGACTTTCACTAACCTTGGATGGCAAGGTCCTTCTGCCAGTTGTCTCTGCTCCCTACACCAAAAAGATTTTATTTTCTTTTAAAAGATTTTATTTATTTTTAGAGAGATTGGAGAGGGAGGGAGAGGAGAGAAACCTCAGTGTGTGATAGAAACATCATCGATTGGTTGCCTCATGCATGCCCCCAACTGGAGACCTGGCCCGCAACCCAGGCAGGTGCCCTGACTGGGAATTGAACGGGGAAACTTTTGGTTCATAGGCTGGTGCTCAATCCACTGAGCCATACCAGTCAGGGCTCGAATCAGTTTATGACATTTATCTAACTTGCTTACATAAAATCAGATATTAGATGGTGTTATAAGTATAATTTGAAGAGTTAAAAATATTTCCATAAACAAAATACAAAGAACTCTTTTGTACCTTCTAATTTTGAGAGAAAATTGTGGTGGCTATCTTGGGCTGCTGGGAATACCTACTTTGGTGAGGTTGAAATATATTTTACTCTGTTGTGAACACCGTATCTATACAAAAGAATGTGAAATCACTATACAAATGTATGAGACTACTTTAGACAGGAAAAAAAATTAATTTTTAAAATTAATTTACACTGTAAGAAATTAAGTCAGCTCATATAATTAATTTTTATATAAATATTACAACTTGGGATAAAAAAAAAGTTTAACATTTAATTGTGTGAGCATGGGCTAGTCCATACGAAGGAACCTCCTTTTGAAAAGTTACTCTGGGCTTGTGGGTGTGTGTGAATGTGTGTGTGTCGTATGTGTGTGTGTGTGTGTGTGTATGTGTAAAAGAGAGAGAGAGAGAGAGAGAGAGAGAGAGAGGGGCCTGGGGTTGGGGGTGGGGAGGAAGAAACAAAGAGAAAGAATAGTAAATAGGCATGTGGCCCAAAATTAGAAAGACTGGAAATGTATCCTAGTCTATCTGAGGGATAAGGGAAGTGATTCAGTGCGATAAAAACTCCTAGACCAAATTCAGACTCAAGTTATGCACCATGAGAACTGGTATTGAAACAAATCAGAACTGAACAAAATGCTTCATGACTGGGTGTTGAAATTCAGTTCCTCTCTGGTGCAGCCCTCCTCTTTCTCATTTACCGAAACCTCTATTAAGAGCTGCAGAGAATTAGATTCTTCCCATGAAATAGAAGAGAATTTGAAAATTGTGGTTAAAATACACAAATACGTGTTTTATATGTAAAATGCAAATTGTTAGATGCTATTTAAAAACAAAAGAAAGCCACATTCAGAGAAACTCATATAGCTTTTGACATGGATAATTTCTAAGCAAATCTAGTCCTCTAATGGATGGATCTTTGTAAAAAAATGCAACCTTTATTTTTGTCAAGAAGTACGTACATGGTGGATCCACCACTGAGCCACAGCGGTGCCACATGTAGATATTTTAAGATTGCCTGGATGGTATAATGTACTTAGCGGTAATTACCTAAAAAAGTTATTGCAATGAATTTCTACTTAGAGGGTTAACATTTCTGAGAAAACTTAAATGTCCTAAAAACACCTCTAATGCTGATCAATACTTAATATAACTCTAAAGTTAACAATTTTTTAAGAAAGCAGAGCAACACTGTCATGTGAATTTATTTTATTATTTACATGAAAGCTTAGCTTTCTGACAGTAGTGACTAGTGAGTAGGATAAGCATAAGCAAATGGTGACTAGGTGAGGGCCGAGTTAGCTATGTGGCATGAATTCTACTGAAAGCTGCTGGGGTAGAGGAGGGGTAAGAGAAATGAAGTTGTGACATTACTCAGTGATTTTTATTCTACTCAGTTGTCTTATGCTCATTGTCACTTTAGAAACAGAAATGTAGAACTCGTTAACTGCTCTAACCAAATGGTTCCTCAGAGGAGTAAAAGTGAGGTAGGCATATAGAATGTTTCCAATGTATAAAAACTTACTTCCTTTAAATATTTTATATCCTCCCAGTATTTTCTTTTGAACATGAATTGCAGTTTTAGAATTATTAATTAAACAAAGTGTGGTCTTTGTTTTGTGTTTTAAACTTTAAAATAAAAACTATTTGTTTTACAAGGAGTGTGACTGTGAATTCAAGGCTTTTTAAAGTTTTGAACATTTCCATAGTTTAATGACAGGAGTCATTTTTATGATAAAGACATTATCTCAAAACTACCACAAGGGGGCAGAAATACACATCTTCTGACCAGAAAAACAAAAAAATTATTTTTATACCCAAATTTAGATAATTTGTATATGTATGCTTATATACATATATATTTATGTTAATATATGGAATATCTATAAATACACACTATACTATGAGTACACTATAAATATACAAAATCTGTATATCAATGGAATAGTTGATCCTATGCGTATTACTGTGAGGATTTTCTAGTATCTCAAAACACATCAAGAACTTAAAACCAAAAATGTTGACTTATGTCACACATGAACTATGTGAAAACTTAACTAAATAAAAAATATATTATTGATAGAAGTGGGAATGAATACAGTCTAAAACAATAGGGAAATAATTTACATCATTATCACAGAGCTCCCCCTCCTCTTAAAGAATAAGGAAAGTAATATTTAAGCTGTTTGAAAGGTCTGACAATTATTTTCAGATTTTGATAAAGTAGAATTTTACATTCTCTAATGGGACATTAGAACACGATAGAGACTGCCCTTTGTCATTTAAAAATGCATCCTAAAAGTGTATTATAAAAGAAATGACATTGCTTACCCCAGCTGACTGAGGGCGGATGGCGGCATGTTATGTAGGTGTTGCTGTTGCCAGCCAGTGACTGACCCCAGGTGGAGGGCGCTGGCGGTGTTAAACCCAGACAGCGACGACAGGTCCGCGCTGCTCAGAGAGTACTCTAGATTAAAAACAAAACCATGAGGGAAAACGATTTAATCTGGAAATTGTCAAGTGATGGACAGAATAAATCTTTTCAATTTCTAAAAAAAATTTTATTAGTGTTATTTAAAGACTGTCATAATTTTTATTTATTTATTTTTTACTTTTGGGGTCGGGGAAGAAGGAGAAACACAACAAGGACAATTTTAATTTAAAAGAGTTATACTATATACCAAAAAATAAGCATTCCGTAAAAGCTTCAAAATAACACAACTTGCAATTCTAGTTTATTAGAACTGCAATGTGGTATTATACTTTATATATATTTGATAATTTAGAAATGTTTTTTTAAACAATCCCAAGGAAGTGAGCTATCTATTACATCAAAGGAGTAACAGCTTATTTTCCTTGAAATTGTTCTTCTATATTGAAGTCAGGTTGGGTTAGTAAAACTTTCAGTCCCTTGAAAATGTGAATATTCACTTTGTCTTAGTAATGAACAGGTAATAATATAGTGGTCTGAACACCACAGGTAATAAATGAAGCCTATCAGACTAAAAGGTAATATCTTTTTCATCTTGCTTTTTAATAAAAAAGTATTTAGTGTACTATTTGAAGGTTGCAAAGCTACTCACCGGTACCATATGTTGTTGAAATGGCTGATGGATATCCTCCCATCCCTTGTCCTGGTAAAGTAGGAGTTGCTACAGAAACCACTGGGGTAGCCAATGACTGAGCAGACTGGGAGTTATTTATCCTCTGATTCTTTTAAAGTAAATAAAAAGACATTATTGGTGAAATGTTTTTGAAGTTAAAAATATTAGATTTCAGTATTAGTTTTGCACATAAAGATATAACTTGGTACAAATCTCATGAAATTAATCATTTAACATGTGTCTCTATGAACTCTGCCAACCCTATCATTTACAATCCTTCAAGAGACCAGTTGTTGCTATAGTAACCCATTACATCAGTATCTCCTAGGCAACTGAACTAGTAACAAGTACCATTGCTTTATTATGGGTAAAAACAGACTGTTGAAAATTGATGAAATATGTATACTGTACTTCTATTGTTTCAGTTTTTATTCAAATGCAAATTAAAAAAAAATTAAAATCACCGTGGTTTTATCCTCAGTTCTATAAACAGCAGAGATTGGTAGAGTTTCATGCTATAGTCTGACCAGAAGGTGGTGCTCTGGCCACTTTTTTCAGATTCTTCTAAACTTCCCTCAAACTAGATGGCAAAGCAGTTAACATGTATATTTAACTCCTTACAGCAAGCAGATTAAAGATTCACATAAATTTAAAGATCAGGAGACAAATTTCTTAGGAAAAGAAGTATCTTTGTGGTTTTAAATAACTAAGAATTGTTTTTGTTCTAGAATTTTGCTATAAATTGAGTCCTAAAATAAATGGAAAAAATGGTCTTCATTTGCGCAGGTTGACATGGAAAAATAACCTGAACTTGAAATTAATGGTATTTAAATATAATCAATGTTGACACACTATGATAACTTCCGAAACCTTCCCATTTTGCTAGAGCTCCCACTCCACCGGGAAGTCCTCGCCCGAGCCGCTTAAGGGGAGCACCCTCACCACTTACCAAAAGCAGGTCGACATCCTCAGACTGAAAGCATGGGGAAGGAGTTTTATAAATTAGTGTCCATAACTATTTGTAACTGGGCAAAATCTTTTCAACACAAGGAAAAGCATCTTCTGATAGACACAACAGTTTAAACACTTGAAAAACCCAGACTCTAAAGATAACTTCTTACAAAGACATTCTTTGTTTCCCTTCATGAGCCATTTGTCTCAGATGTGAACACAACCTATACAGTTTTCAGCATAGGTCAGTGTCTCAACATTCATATATTTCACAGTCACATTTTGTAAAAAAAAAGAAAGAAAAGAGGACTGTCCTTTGAAAACCTACTCTCTAGAAGAGGGGGAACTGCACCAGGCTGCCAGTGAGAGACCTGGCCGACCAGTCACGGAGTCCCTGCCTGGGAAAGCAGCAGTTTCACAGGACTTGGAATAAATGTGCTGATGGAGACAGCCTGCCGTGCATGGCCCACACGGCTTGGCTGTGGCCCCGTGGGAGGTTGTATTTGTTAGACCCAGCCTTTTCCTAAGGGAACGTGGAATATTATGTGATTTGGGGGGTTTATATTCAAAATTAATCTGCACTGTGCCATAATAAACCGATCAGCTTGCAGGACTGTTTTACCCTGAAGCTTGCCACAGAGCACAGAAAGAAAAAAAAAATGTGTCTGCAGAATGATCTAAATTTGTCTACTGAATCTTGATTTTAAATGTTCTCACTCTTAAGCAAAGCTCATTTGGAGAACACTGATGTAAGTCTCCTTGTTGCTGAATTTAGTCCCACAATATTATCTTCATCTTAGACCTGTGGACCCAGGAAAAAGAAAAATGACAGCGTCTAGGGATATTGTTTATATTTCTGCTTCTTACTTCTTTATTCTTACAAGTGCTACAACTTCTTTTATTTTTTAAAATACAACCTTGTTCTCAAAATGCCTAGGATTTTAAAACAACTTGCTTTTGAGAGGTAACTATCTGCCTGAAGCACATCTACGGAAAGATAAAGTGAGGCAGTGCTCAGCATGTGATGTACTCGACGCTATTGCTATAATATACCCGACTGTGATGTATTGAATTTTATTGCTGCAATATATGTAAGAAAATAATTACCAATGAACAGGAGAAAGTTCATTTAGAAAATATAGAAAAGATTTTTTCATTGCCAGCACTTTGAGGACATAAATAGTTCAATATTTTAAAAATCTGTTATGAAATAAAATACCTCATCCTGTGAGTCTGATTCTACCATTGGTCAAATCATATGTCCCATAAGCAGAATAATAGGTAATTATTTTTTTCTAATTATAAATTGGAGGTGTTAAAAGGAAATGTTTTCTTTGCCCCAGAATAGTCCTATAGTGGTGTTCACTGGGATGTTGGTTCTTTTTTATGTGGAAAAGTGAAGGAGAACCAGTTACCAGAAATAATAGCCAAATACAAATAGGACTCCAGCAATAGCATCGATGTGTTAATTTTATGGAAGCACTTAAATAATTCAGAGTTAGACAAATACAAAAACATATACAAAACATTATCAACATTTATTTAAAATGTAGTTATTCATTACCACTGATGGCATCGTATTCTTGCTGCCTGGCGGAATAAGAACTCGGAGATCTGGTTTACGGTTATTCATCCCTAAATTCATGGGGGGAGGAGATTTTGCTTGCATATTCTTGTTCAAGTTACCAGGTGAGACCAGCAGACCTGGTGAGTTTCGGGGATTGCCATATCCGTTCCCTGTTAACACAAAACAGTGAAAGCACTCAAGGAAAAATCTAGACTCAAATATGTTTCTAGAGAACACACTACATGAGATTAGACATAAATTTTAACAGCCTAAGACATAACATACAATGAAACTCTACAGGATGATGGACTTAACCTCCATCTGAAGAGTAACTCAATCAGTATTTAATATTCCTCTGAAGGAAGATTAAAAACTTTTCATGAGAAGGAGCTAATATAGATCAAATTGCTCAAAAATCAACATATACCCTTTTTTTCCTAAAAAAAAAAAAATCCCGAAGAAAGTCAGACAGTCATTCAAGGTCTAAGAAAAGCCCAGAATTGGTCCTGCACTTTAATTGACTGGCTCAGTGGAGGCCTGGCTGGAGTGACTCACTCTTTCAGTTCAATGGTTTGGGTTTTATTTTGTGTGTCTGTGTGTCCTTAAATGAAGAAAGGGCATACAGCAAGACTGTAATTTCTAGGACATGTAGGAGGAGTAGCCTCTTGTGCTGTTTAGTTCCCTTTTTCTCTGAGTGATTTCTCTCTATGGTTTTCTTCTGTCTCTTTTGCCCTCCTCACGAATGAACCTGAAGCCTGGCTCTCCTGCTCACGCAGAACTTCAGAAAGCAGGACTCCTTCTCAGCAGCTAAAGTGAAGGGATGATCCCTCCACTGAAACGCTGATTCACCAAGGCAGGGGAATAGCCATCTAACACAAACACTGAAAGTTTTTTCTTAGGTGTCTGATGTTTAGCTCCCTACTAACAGAAAATGCATATCTGAGGGACTCCATTTTTCATAATTCAAAATATGCTCCCTTGTGTCAGGAAGAGCTATGGAGGGAGTCAGTACAATCTCAGCAGAGGCAGAAAGTCATCTGCTGGTTTCCTCCATTGTCTCTGGTCAGAGAATAAGAGAATCCAACTACCTGATTCAACAATGCTTTCTGGAAACTAGACAGTTGTTTTCTGCAGCTCTCTAAAGGAGACAGTCAAACGTCGTTGTTATTATCACCATTATCATTATCGTAAAACACAAATATCTATTACCCCAGGACGAATGATACTGTGTGCTACCCAGTGGGGAGGCAAAGACTAGGCCCAAGTCCTCAAAGGCCCTGCAGTTTCTCTGTGTTAATCTAGTAGATACATGTGCGAAACGTACAAACTCAGACAAGGCAGCCTAGGGTGAGGTGCCCAGAGTCATCCAGATGAAGTGTTATTGAATTTCCAGGAGGAAAGAGATTAACCAATAAAGATTCATGTAAGAGGCAGAAATTGATGTGGGTCTTGAAAAAAGAGAAGTGATAGTAAAATACTCTGGGTTTGTGATTAAGTGCTGGGAAAAGGCTGAGGTGGGAATTTCCAGAGCAGTCAGGGGCACTGGTGACAAGGGACCCATGGAAGAGAGGAATGCTGGAGACTCTGAAGGGACATAAAGGCTGGGCTATGGAGACCTAGAATTCTAAGCTAACAGACTGTGGGTTTAAATAGTGGAAATGCAGATCCATGAAGGCTGCAGCGTAGACGGAACACAGGCCTGTAAGCAGACAGAAAGATGTATGGGCATCGGGCATTCCTGTAATTAGGGAGGCCTGGCAGTGAGGACCAGTCTGGGAACTACTCTGATGGTCTGAGCTACAGGTGACAAAGAACGGGGAAGGCAAAGCACAGGTATATTTCAAGAGATATTTATGGGAATATCTTTTGAATTAGAATATATTTGAAGCACACTGCATAGAGCAAAATTGTTCTTCATATCCATTCATTTACCTGTCTCATTTTAAGCATGAATAAACAGTCTGAATATATAACAAATAACTACAAGATTAAATCTGTCAATTAGATTATGCATAAAATCCTTGAATTGCTGGTGGTAGAACCCCAACATAAAATAAACAAAATACACCCCCCCGCAAACATGTCTTGAGTACACAGTAGGCAGTTGTTTAAAAGATGTTGGTTGAATTTGGATAAAAATTACTCTTCTATTGTAAACTTGAAGAAAATCAGCTAAATTTTTTAAAGCTAGGTAAATATGTCAAAAGTCAAAATTTTCGTTTATAGTTAATCTGGACAGCTTTCTGTGGCAAGAGATATGAAACAAATACAGGTACCTTTTATCACCAGGAGAAATACAAAGAGTATGTTCACAGAGAAACGCTTGATAAAATGGACTGCTCAGAGGAATTTTATATTTAATGCTACTTGCTGAATCATTATTGGGAATATGTTATGACTTCAGTAGTTTTAATTAATAGGTTCTATTGGATAAAAAGACAATGAGCAAGCCAAGACCAAATTTGCACTGTACTTTTCTGTCAGCTGAAGTCCACACTGACACACTGAATACATATGTCACTTATCTATTAAGTCTGCGTGAGATCTGGTTTAAATAAACAATCAAATGGAAAATTAGCTGGGTAATTTCAAAAGAAGGGGGGAAAAAGTCAGTTAAGCAGTGCAATGAAGCTTGAACAGATCAGAAGAAACTAAAACCCCGGTTTGGTAGATGCCGATACTGGTTTGCATGGAGGAGTTATTTTGCTAAAAGGAAGTAAAACCACTCCGTGAAATGTGTTGTCCTGTGATATGACAAGCACTCGGCCAGTGTGTGAAAATGGAAATGCTTCATGGAGGCTCTGAGAAAAGGTTGTGCTTTTTTTTTTTAAAAAACATTTTCTACAGTAAACTCTGAGAAATCCCAACAAAGCCTACATTTTAAACAATAATTTGGGGCAGCAGTAGGGACAAAAACCCCAACTAAATACACATTTTATTTTTTAATCCAATAAATGCCTCATAGTTAAAAAAACTGATTTGAAAGGCATTCTATTTTCCTCCTGGAATATTTCTTGTTATTTGGAAATCATGTCATTTTAGAAGATTACTCTTATTTTAAGGTGTTTACATATTGAATGTAAAATATTTTGAACCACGATGCCACTTCTTAAATCCATATTTTTAGAGCATAAAGTTATTTTTAAGAACAAATAAATTCTGCTTTTTACTGGCAAATTCCTGCTCTTTTTAGCATATTGTGCCAGCTAGCATTTTGGAGCCGTATAATAACCATTTCTGTTTCCAGCCACCAAGTTGTTATTCTTCTGGCATAATATAGATTCAGGAATGCAAGACTGTGGATCCTAAACCAGTGATATAGAAACCTATCATTTCAAAATCAATGATGAATACATGCGTGTGGTTTGCTGCTAAGAAGAGCCTGCATTTAAACCAGCTCGGAAACCGCAGCCTCCTCCTCTCTCAGAACGCTGTGGCCCGAGTTGAGGCTGCTGTCTTACCATAGCATAAATTCACCAAAGAGAACAGGCTCACTCAAAGTCAGGGGTCAGGAGGCGGGAAACACCACCTCTCAATAACCTTCTAATATACAGATTCAACCTTTCTTCATGCTATGTTTTAAAATGACCCTCTGTCCGAACAATTATCAATTTAGATGTGACTGCATGCGGATGTCACATTCCCGAACCACTTAAAAGCACAAAAATTATAAAGCATGAGTGAATGGATTTCCTGATTATAGATTATAAGAAAATGAAGAACAGACCAACTTTAGAGTAAGAATGTTTTATAGTTCATTTGATTAAAAATATTGTTTCACGTAACAAAAACAATTTAAGCATTCACAATATAATTTATACGAAGGATACAACAATCTACCTTGACTGGTTACAAGTTTCTAAATACTCACATTAAAACTAGTGTAAATACACAGAACTTGAAATGTAGTGTTAGGAGAAAAAATTTTTTTTCCCTTCAGTTAACTTTGAAAACACTTGCTGCTTTTTTTTTTTTTAATTGACTCCTATTTTAAGAAGTTGTAAATTCAAAGAACATATTCCTGGCTTAAGTTGTAGTGAGGAGGACATTTTGCCTTGTCTCACAGAGCTCAGTTGAGCATGTAGCTCTCTTTGAGCCCAAAGCTCTAAAATTTTCTCTTATTTGGATATTTAGACATTATGAGTGTTTTCACTAGATTTTTTTTCTTTTCTGGGACTTTCAGTTAGAAATACAAGCGTATAAAATTAATAAGCACAAAATAGAAACTAGTCCTTATGGATTAAGGCTAATATTTTTCATGGGCAAAATCTTTTTTCAGTCTCTGAAATTATCATTTTGACTATTTCCTTTCCTCTTCCAACTCCAATCAAATACCAAAATTTTTCTTTAAAAATGACTCTCTCCATCTCCAGTGTTACCATCCTGGTTGAGGCTTTCTTCACCAGTTGACTAGGTCTTTCAAAACCCCTATGTGGGTCCCAGGTCTGTAGTTGAACAGTTGTTCACTGGGACTTAAGATGGGCTTCAGGAAGGATGTGAGCTCCTTAAGCCATTTGAAAGCTATGTGCATATGTGTGATAATATGAAATCTGATGCACCATCTTGACCCTTTAAAGGGAATCCCTTTAAAGTTCTGCTTCTATTGTGTTTTTGTTCAGATCATACTTAACACTGCTCGGTCAGTGCCCTGTGTGGCTGTCAGGACTGTGAAGAGTTTCCCCTCCTTCCCTCCTTCCCTCCTTCCTTCCTTCCTTCCTTCCTTCCTTCCTTCCTTCCTTCCTTCCTTCCTTCCTTCCTTCCTTCCTTTGTTCCATCCTCTCTTTCTTTTCTTTCTTTCCTTCTTTCCTTCTTTCTTTCTTTCTTTCTTTCTTTCTTTCTTTCTTTCTCTCTCTCTCTCTCTCTCTCTCTTTCTTTCTTTCTTTCTTTCTTTCTTTCTTTCTTTCTCTCTTTCTTCCTTTCTTTCTTTCTCTTTCTTTCTTTCTTTCTCTCTCTCTTTCTTCCTTTCTTTCTTTCTCTTTCTTTCTTTCCTTTCTCTCTCTTTCTTTCTCTCTTTCTCTTCCTTCCTTCCTTCCTTTCTTTCTTTCTCTCTCTTTCTTTCTCTTCCTTTCTTCCTTCCTTCCTTCCTTCCTTCCTTCCTTCCTTCCTTCCTTCCTTCCTTTTGTTCGTTTGTTCTTTCTTTCTTTCTTTTTCTTTTCCTTCCTCCCTTCCT